AACCTGGGACCTTTCAGTCCGCAGGCCGACGCTTTATCACTGAGCCAAACCGGCTAGGGCAGGCCACAATGGGTTCTTAAACTGGACCGGAGGGCCGGAACAAAAGCATGGATGGAGTGTTTGTGTGAACTAATATAAATTCAAAGTAAACATCATTACATAAAAGGGTACGATCTTTTTTTTTTTTTTAGTTTTATTCATTTCAAACGGGCCGGATCCGGCCCGCGGGCCGTAGTTTGCCCACGGCTGGGCTAGGGCGATGGTGTGTTTTTTAAATGAAAGAGGTCAAACCGCTTGATTGTGTGCCCAGTCCCCTTCTTCCAACTTAAATGGAGTATTCTTATATGTTATTGAAGGCGGCTCAGTCTAATTTTGAGAGGAGGGACTTGACATTATTGGAGTCATGGTTTACATGAATGCATGGAAACTTGAAACTGGAAGTGTCAAAATGCAAAATTGTCTGAAATCATGCTATTGGTGTAGCTCCTTTTATGAGCAAAATCCTTCATTGACTTGGCAGCTGTGGTTTGCTTTGTTAAAAATAAATGAAATTTTATCCTCTTAAACAATAGAGTAATAAAGTAATTAAAAAGAAGTTATGAAATTCCAGTTTACTGTCAGTTTTCAGTGTGATCAGAACTCATAAATGTCATTACAAAAAAATCTGGACCGTGATAGGATCATTGAGAGGATTTCTTTGTTGAAATTGACTAATTTTATAACATATCTAGGTTATTCATGAATATGCTAATCTATCACTTAATTGTATTTTTATCATTTTCAGAAAATGAACAGGTGTCAGCAGTCTAGCCTTTGGATGGCCCATTTGACGTCTGAAAAGTCCTGGAGGAAGGAGTGGGCAGAGCCACCTCATGGTTCCACAGGCCAGCAAACAGCACGCTGCTGCTGCTGCTGCAACCAGAGGTTTCATTCCCTGTCCTCTGAGCCACGATGAGCCTGAACCCTGCCTCCTCATTCATCCCTGCAGATGTGCAGTCTCCTCAGCTATGGAGGTCGTGCCTGGATACGTCTTCACTTTGCACACCAGACCTGCCTTGGGACCAAGTTACTAGAACAAATCCAGACTCGGAGTCCTCCTTGTGTATAATATTATATCACTATAGGTTTGCCTTTAACAAGTTATTTTTAGCACGTTAAGCGCCAAGCCGGTTTTGTCTTCTTTTCCGTTTAGCCCGCGATATCCGATTTCACCGATATGCTGGCAGCACCAGTGACTGACCAGTCCAGACGGAAAGTATAGTGTCAGTCACCGGTGACTGGCCTGGTGCTTAACGTGTTAAAATAGTCATGGTAGTATTTTCAAGCCATAGCTTGGGCTAACGGACAAATTCAAAATGTCTGCCAATATCAAGGATATTCTTGTGTATTTGAAAAGTAACTTATTATTTGAAGTTTTGTGGTTTTTGTATTTGGAAGCTCTCACTCGCTGTTTGTTTGAGACCATAAAACTGTCTCTGGTCTGACCAAACAGAAGTTGCCTTTATAGGGTCATATGCTTGATTTGTACAGAACTTTGAGGATGCCCGTTGCAGTTGAGGCGTAGGAAGAAAAATACTCATGTGCTGGTCTCGATTTGGAAGACCGAATGAACCGCCACAGGGTTTCTTACCAGTCCTTTGGGGAAGGGAGAGGCAATCCTAATTTCCAAAGAATGAAATGTTTATGTGAAATAATGTATACCAAGTCTTTTTGAACTTAAAGTCATGCTGCATCTAACTAAAAGTATAAATCCAGTAAATAGAGAATGGGTTCTAGAGCATTCTACTCCATAGAAACCCAAAACTAAAAGTTTCTCAACTCAAATATGGAGTTCTTTTTTAAAGGATGTGTCATCCTGGTGGTGGGACCCTGAGGATGAACTTAGCTCTGGGCAGTGCTCTGCCGCACCCTCCCCATGGCACAGCTTGGGACCCGCTGATCTCCCAGCTGCCTGCAGTAAAGCTCATTAGCTCATGAAGGTATATAATTGGTAGAAGTTTCTGTGAAGGAAACAGGCACTAGAATTATGGAAATGAATTATCTCTCTGTTCCCATTCTAGCCTAAGACAGAAAGGAAATATATTTTTTAATAGCCCGTTGGGCATGGCACTCTTAGGTATTTAAGTTTTAATGATTGTTTAGTGGACAAGCTAGACTTTCCACATTTTTACAAATAAAATATAATGTGTTCTCTATCTTACATTTAAATTTTTAAATTTGTTTTTTAGTGTAAAGGCAAATGAGAGCTTAATAAACTTCTGTGGCTACCAAAAAAAAAAAGCCAAAGCTATTGACGTGCACTACCCAGATCCGCTTGGAGCCAAATGGGTTTACCTCTGTGTGCTGGTCCACACGCAAATGTAGAGAGTTCAGTGTTTGTGACTTCCTTTTCAGTGTGTGCTCGTTGTTCCCAGCCGTGTCGTCCCTGTCTCTGTCCCTGTGTTCTGCCTGTCCCCTGCAGTTTAAAATCATAAGTCAGTTCCAAGTGTAAATAGCAGTAGTCCATCTTTTCCATCTAAGCCAGTGGTTCTCAACCTTCCTAATGCCGCAACCCTTTAATACAGTTCCTCATGTTGTGGTGACCCCAACCATAAAATTATTTTCATTGCTACTTCATACCTGTAATTTTGCTACTGTTATGAATCGTAATGTAAATATCTGATATGCAGGATGTATTTTCATTGTTCGCAACCCACAGATCGAGAACCGCTGCAAGCAATGTTTCTTCATTTTAGGAAAGACATGTCTGAAAAATTCCCCTGGGCAAAATAATGTTAATCTGAAACATAAGCCTTAGAAATGAACCCCAGATATGTTAGAATGAGGCTAATTGGCTCCATAGCTTTCTGGGTCCATTGAAATGGGAAGTAGCCCAGACCAAAATCCTGGTTTGAAAGTCACACTGTTGTGATTTGACCTGTAAACAGACGTTCTCTGATCACAGATACTTCCTTCACTGATTTGCTTCATTGTTTTCATGTCCAAAGTGAAATATATTTTTGCTATAACCATCTTTTCATCAGGTTTGGGTATTCTCACATTTTACATTCATTACCCTGGGAAAATGTGCCCTTTGCACATTGTCTGTTTATTTAGCGGGTCTTGCACTCCAGTGGGAGCTTTACACACCTTTGTCCTTAGTGGTGTCAGTAACATCTTGCACAGAGAGTTGGAGGCTTGTGGTTTTGTTCTTGCACCTTGTAGCTGCCTTTGTTTCATCGAAGCCTAAACTGTATTTGGATCAGCTGATCACATTGATCAGGAACTAAAGCCAAATGCTTTGTAGTGTGGTATGAATGTATCCCTTAAAAAATCATGGAGTTTTGATTTTTACATTTTATTTTAGGGTACATTCCTGCCTTCTCGTCATATGACAAGAACAAGAGAAGCCTTAACCTGTATTTGATTCAATTCTAAATCCCCATTTGCTTTTGTTTTTATTTTATAAATTTATAACTTTAATAAAGAGACTCATGCCTTCATCCCACCACAATTCTGAATTTGCCAGGACTACTAACTAAAGCAGTAAATCCATGGTGCAAACTTTTGCCAAATTAGTTTCAGCATAGGCTCTTCGTGAAGAAAGATTTGCAGAATTAGTAAATCCAATACATACTTCCATAAAAGTTGATTGTAATTAATAGATTTTTGCTCCCTCCAAATGATTACTTTCAGAATGATTTTAGGGAGAAAAAGCCTTAAGCGGTTTTTCATGAGGGTGATAAAGTCATGCTGTCACATCTGCATAGCCCCCCGGAGGGCCTTCAGGCTGGACCAGCCGTGGGCAAACTATGGCCATCGCCCGCTTGAAATGAATAAAACTAAAAAAAAAAAAAGACCGTAACCTTTTATGTAATGATGTTTACTTTGAATTTATATTAGTTCACACAAACACTCCATCCATGCTTTTGTTCCGGCCCTCCGGTCCAGTTTAAGAACCCATTGTGGCCCTCGAGTCAAAAAGCTTGCCCACCCCTGGGCTGGACAGTGGCAGTGATCCAGGGGGTTAAACCCAAACGAACCTAATCTTTATAAAGTGTTTTCTTCCCTGCAAAAGAACGGGAGGAAGTTTTTCTTGTGTATTTAAAACGAGGATTGTTATTCTGATATATTTTAAATTTCTAAAAAATCAGATACTCAAGTAGATGTGTCATTTTAGAATTACCTTAAAAGCTAGAACAAATGGAGAAATAAGTCTTCAGAGAAGTATCACGGGACATTTTCAAATGTAAACTTGGACTCCAGTTCATATTTAGCTTTCGTTGTGCTTTTTAAAGGCTTTTTTATTTTTTATACACAGAATGCAGTTGTACTTGATCTTTCAAAAATGAAACATGAACTTCAGCAAGAGACAAAAACAAAACTGCACAGTCATAATAGTCTAATAGCAATTATACTGCACAATTCAGTGATTGTCAAGTTTCCTGTACCAAGCAATGTTCGTCTCCTATTTTGATACCTCTTAAACTTATGTCTTTTAGAAAGACGGTGCCTCTGTATGCTTTTTGTATTTTTACTGAGTGTAAATATTTGTTATATTTTTGGTTAAGAGAATGTAAAAGTACCATTTATTATTATCATATCTACTAATACATTGGTGAAATCAATAATCTACATTAGCCTTCTCTGCACTTTATTGCAAATGTTACGGCAGAAGATAAAATAATTACACTGGCACTCAGAGGGCCAGTATAGGACCCACACTGGTGTGAAGGCCTTATTTTTGAAGTCTTCAGAGAAATTTGAATGGTCCAACTATATTCATAGTATCTGTAAAGCACGAAGATATCTAGTTTTTAAAACAGTATTTAGTATGTTTGATTACAAACCCAGTAACAATGGCTTAAACCCCGTTGGGCTTGCTTTTTTCTGAGAAAGCCTCAGGCCGACTGATACAATGACTCCGCAGTGTCTCCGGGACCTGACCTTTGCGCCGTGGGCATCACCAGTGTTTCCTGAAGGAAGGGCTGAAGGGGAAAGGCGCCAGTGAGCCTCTTAGCAAAACAGGTTTTCCTGCAGCTCCGCTTGCATATTTCTGCTTACATTTCACTAGTTAGAACCGTGTAGCGTGCCTGTTAGCTGCAAGGAATCCTGGGAAATGGGCTTTTGGGAATGAGCAATTGACCCCAAATGATTCTTGAGATGCGGCAGCCACCGGCACTGTGAGTGGAGTGCATCCGCCTGGTCCTCCCTCCACCCGGCCCCACGGCGCCTGCTGCACCCATGAGCCTCGGACCACAGCCAGGCCGCCCGGCTCTCCTGCCCCTTGCGTGGCACCACCTGCTCCTCCAATGGCCCCTCCTCTGGAAACCCCGGCCTCTGACAGCCCTGCCCATCAGTGTGCGGGTCCGTCCTCCCCTCTGCCCCAGGCCTGACTCACCTTGGTCCCCATCACCCAGCATGCGGGCGGCACACAGGAGGCCTCGGGGAAGGTGTGAGGAATGGGTGGGTGACGGTGTGAATGGGTGGGTGTGAGGGGTCATGAGGAAGTCAGCGAGTGAGGGAATTCGTGAAGGTGGTGGTAGGGCCGCGGAAGGAGGAACGCACGAGGCCAAAAGGGGTAAAGAATTAGGAATTTATTACATCTGCTAGCAGAAGGGCTGAGACCAAATGGCATCAGCTGGGTAGGGTAGGTGGAGCGGGACATTCTGGTCGGACCAGGTGCAGGTGGGGCCAGGTGTGGGCGGTCGACTGAGCTGGGAGAGGCGTTTACTGGAGACCGAAGGCCGTTAGTCATGAAACCTATAACGAGAACAACAGGAAAATCACCGGGAGGGGCACGAGCCCCAGCGGGCACAATGCAGCACAAGGATGTGCCCAACGGGTAGGAAGGACTGAAGGGACCGGGGGCAGGGCAGCTAGGCACAGACAAGAATCAGATGTGGGTGTGAGGAATGGAATGGACGGATGAATATCTGAGACTGTGCATCCCGACTCAGTTCCTCCAACAAAACAAAATGGGCGGTGGCCACCTAAACTCCCCGCTCGGCTCCAAGCCTCGCCACGCCCCGCCCACCGCTTCCCGCCGGAGGTACTAGTAAGCCCAGAACCCCCACGCGGCCGCGCCCGAAAGGGCCTACCCGCTGGACCCACAGAGCCGGTGTCCTCACCACCGGGATTCCCACTCCCCCAGGCGCTCCCCCTATTGGTAGGCGGGCGGGGACTGGCGTCTTTGAGAGCCTATGTCTCTCCGACTTAGGCCGTGGGGCCCGCCTACTAAGGAACGCGCCCTGAGTGGCCCAGGCTAGTAGGAGGCGGGTGTCTATTGGCTGGTTAACAGTGACTGACGCCATGAGTAGCTTATCACAGCTAGACGCCGGAGGCGGGCTCCTGTGTCAGACCCGCCTCTGGGAAAAACAACGCTGGAGGTAGTTGAGAACGAGTAACTGCGGGAGAGAAGTCTGGGCGGTTTCTGGCTGCACGAACCTGGGCTGTTTGCTGCCTGACCTGGGTCCTAGGGAGGGATGGAGACTTGAGAGTCCTGGCCCCTTGGTCCTGAGGAGGCTGGGCGCCCGAGAGAGGAGAGGATTGAGGACCCGTAGGAGGAGTAACGAGGGGCCTAGACTTCTGGGTCTGAGGGAGGAGGGGAAGGCGAGGCCCTAGACAGGATTTTGAGGGAGGAGGAAACTGGGAACCTGAAAGGTTGGGGGCCAGGGGTGGGGACTCCTTGGTCCCAAGAGTCAGTGGCCTGTCCACAGATGACAGATTTGAAGGTCAGTATTTTAATTCGGCTATTGATGGGATTGGAGCCAGGCCTTGTCCCCGGGCAAGAGTTCTGGATTCTGAGCTGGGGCTTGACTGGAGAGGACGAGGAAGAAGCTTGGGAGAAGCTCTGGCCTCCACATGCCCTTTCCTCGCCCCTAAGGGGGACGCCAGCGGCAGGGTGCTGTCTGCAAAAGGAACCCGCAGGCAGAGTGGGAGGAGGCTTGAAACCCACCCGGAGACAGAGAGAAGCGTAGATACCAATGGAGACATTCAAGTATTGAATTTCTTCTTTAAAAGTGGGATTCCTTTCAGAGAAGCAGGAAAGAGTGGATACTGAGTGGGCACCCGCAGCACGCCGATGGCTCGCTCCTTTAGGAAGCAGTTTCTTTTATGGATCAGATCTCAGAACCTGGCACAGACGGAGGGAGCTCTGCTTTCGCGTCCAAACTTCTTGAATGGGGTCCTCCGGCTCCCCGTCGGCACCAGTTCTGAAAGCGATGACGTCGGGTGTTGTTACCTGGTTCTCCAACTGACTGAGTAAGGAAGACCCAGAGTTACCACCTTTTCTGTGGGTATTGGTGTCTTGTCCTGGGTTGCGCTGGCACCCCAGCCCCCGCCACCCTCCCCAGTGCTCTGATCCGCCCAATGTCCTTTTTTTGCACTAAATGCCAGTCCTCTTACCTCATTCCCAAATAAAAAAATTCAGTTCAGAGCTCTCACATATCTAATAGCTTTGTCTTCTGTCCCTGTGCTCTGTAAAGATCTCTTGAAACAAAAATTTTCTTTGCCAGGAATTGTTTGGAATTCACAGTATTTTCGAGAAGACAAGACAGGTATTCATAGAGAATCAGCATTCAGAACCGTGGTTCCCCATTTCAGCTCTGCCGGCCTGCAAACTGGACGGAAAGGGGCCACATGCTAACCTGACTAACTCGGGGAAGGCCTGCGGGGCGGCCTGGCACACTCAAGGGACCTAAAGTAACCACAAAGGATGGTCTGAAATTAAAGCCTTTAATTGAAAAGCAGTTTATAGTGGGCAGTCATGTCCCTGTATCTTCTCTGACAAAGATCAACTTCAATTTTTACTGAGCCTATTGTCTTTTTCATCTAAGATAACCTACCTGTGGACTGTCAGGGTAACTTCCCCTTTGCTGGACCCCTCAGGGCACAACAAATGGTGCCAGGGCACAGACCGCAAAAGTCCTCATTGTTATTGTTACCATGTTAATCTTTGCCTGTTAACTGTCCTGTACCCCGCTATGTAAGAGACGACGCATGTGTTGGATGGAGGGCTATCTGGCTGCGACATCTGCCACAGGAAACTGATCGGGAGTTGATTCAGCTGATCTGGCTGGCTAGGCCGGTGTCCCCTCCTCCCCACCGATCCATGTGAGTCCCTCGTGAAGCTGCGCTCGGTGGAAGAGGACGTCCTTCCCCCCAGAGGAGAGGACCAGTCTTCGTCAACGGTAAGGAGTAGCTGCGCTCCCCGCTAGAACCTCCCAACAACTCTCAAGAAGCATGTGTCTTTCTTTTTACTTTTTATCCAATCCCAGATATCCCTCCCCACCCCCACCCCCTTTACTTTCTCCCACCTCCCTAATCTGTCAGTAGATTTCATGTAACCCACTTAGGTCTCCACCTTTGATGGTAATTTATAAAAATAGGTGCAAGCCCGCCCCTCTGCGGAGCATTATCCCAATAGGTTGAGATACTGCTTCCCGGCAATTGTCGACAGTTTGGCTCAAACTCACAAAAATTCTTCACAGGTTTGAATGTTTTCTTATGTTAACAAGACTTTTGTATTAAAAATTTACAAGTGATCCATTTCCTTTGGAGTACAAGGGAGGATGTTCAACATCACAGGAGCACTACATAAAAATTGAAAGATAATGTATTAAGTGGCACCAAAATAGACAGATGGAATTAGAATGGCCTAATTTGAAAGTTTCAGAATCATTGCTTTTCTTTTGCTTCATACAGATTCCCATTAGTAAACTGCTTTCAGGCAACAAGGTTCTTAGCAACAGATTGAAAAGATGAGCTAAAGATGATGGGCCCTGCCTTGTGGCTAAAAGGTTGGGCGTGGACCCCATGGACTCGAGGTCGCTGGCAGATGATCATGGGCAGAGCACTTTTTTAGGGGGCGCGGCTACAGTGTTTTGGACAGGTTCAAGCCTTGGACTGATGAGAGGGCACAGTCCTCTCGTTGCCACGTGCAAGTCCCAGCTTAGAGGGCAGAGCCCTCCCAGCACAATTATAGCCAACAGCTGTAGTTGTAAGCTTGAACCTATAGTCCGAACACGTGGGCCCACGTGCCTGAGTGATGTAGTTCAGGTGCATGTAGTTGAGTAGGGTTGAAACCCATGAGAATGTTGTAAACATCTTGATCACGCCCTTACTTTGCCTCGTGGTATCTACTATAAAATAAAGATACGGCTTGTGGGCGCTGGGGCTGTCCATCAGAGGGGGAGCGGCCCACCGAGACCCAGCTTTCATTCTCTTGTCTGTCTTTTCTAAGCCTTTCATCACTCCATCTCAGGGTCACTGAACCAGGCTGAGCTGGCATGAGAATGCCGGCTCCCCACACTTTTTCCATCAGAAGAAACACGAATTTAGACTAAAAAAGGTTGTGGTGATATTACACGGGAGCCACTAGGTGGCGGGGTCACTGAACCAGGCTGAGCTGGCATGAGAATGCCATGGCCATGCGGCTCCCCACACTTTTTCCATCAGAAGAAAAGAATTTAGACTAAAAAAGGTTGTGGTGATATTACACTGGAGCCACCAGGTGGCGCCATGCTACAGTGTAACTCTTTAGGAAGGTGTGAGCAAGGTCATTTCTTTTTTTTTAATATTTTCATTGATTTCAGAGAGGGAATCATTGATTGGCTGCCTCCTGCACACCCCACATTGGGGATCGAGCCCACAACCCGGGCATGTGCCCTTGACTGGAATCGAACCCGGGACCCTTCAGTCCGCAGGCCGACGCTCTATCCACTGAGCCAAACCAGCTAGGGCAGCAAGGTCATTTCTTAGACATTTTTCCAGATAAGTCCGCAGC